CCCGCCCACTTTTATCAATTTTGTAGGTAAGGGGCGGAGCATATCCATTACCTCAAAGGTTATATGAGGATGTCCACGAAGTTGTGAGATTGCATGATACAGACGGTCTGCGAATTGATAATCAACTGCATGTGGAAATAACATTCGAAATATTGATCGCCATTGAGAATTCATCATACGTCCATTGCAACATTTCTACAAAGCGAACCAATGAAACTCGTACACGGCAACTTGGACGAGTTTACCTGCTTGAAGTTTCTATACATGAACATGAGCCATTTCTTATCAAAGCCGGTCATTTGTTGGAGTCGATCCAACGATGGAGGCTGTGTATTGAATGGGTTTGAGAGGAGATCTTCAACATCGATTTCAACTTCTAAATTAAGGGAACTCGTAGATATATTTTTAAGTTTTTATTTGCATAAATAATTAAGAAATAATTTAGGAATGAAATAATGAAAAAAAATATTTTTGATTGGTTGCTTGATCGCTTGAAATTGTTTAAGTGAATATATGCTCACCATCATCGTAGAAGCACAGCCAGTACTGACATCCTCTCAAAGCCCAGTACAGAGATTTCAAGATTTTGTTGCTTGGTTCACGAGGGCCAAACTGCCTAAACATCTTTTTACGAGTGAGGTAAGGTCGTCAAAAGAAAAATAGGAGTTTCAAAAACAAAAACAAAATTGCGCTGTTTAAGATTACACTAAGATTTTTTGTAAAAAAATGCACATGGTGTTTCAAGATTACACTAACAATTTTTCGTTTTCTGCTTTTTCCTTCTTTTTTATGTATCTTTTTTCCCTTTCACCGCTTTCTCTCCATGTTTTTGGCAGAAGTGCAATAAGCCTTATCACAAATGGTTTGATCGGAATTCGGTTTCGGCGTGGAAGTAATTTTAGAACATTCTACTATATTTCAATTAACAAGTTGTTAGAACCTTAACTAACATTTGTTCTTGAAATTCATGATTTTCAATACTGCTCTGAAATAACATCAGATAATGCAGCAATAAGAAATTGATAAATAAAGTTTCAAATATATATATATATATATATCAAAATCAAGTTGACTACTATATGTAAAGCCGACGTGAGGTCAGTTTTTTTTAAGTTAGTAAGCTGAGCAAGCAGAAAAATACTCAACCTCAAAATCTTTGACGCAAACATATATAGGCTGAGTCCGTTCCAAAAAAAAAACAAAAAGTCAAAGAGTACGATACTACATACGATTTGTTATAAAAGAAAGTAGCATAGAACTTAATTTGTTTTTTAAAATAAATCAGGATCTCTGGTTTTTGATTTTGGAGAAAAATAGAAAGCAGCTCGGCGCGATATTTTCAGTTCCTAGTGTTTATCTCGCACATCCATAATTGCGTAGCCGTTTAAGAGCGCCGTGACTTTTTAATGAGATAATTGCGAGAAGAACGGAAAGCGAAGGAAGGATTATAAGCATTGTTCGCACACGTTTTTGTCTTTGTTCTGAGCAGCTTCGTATAGAAAAGGAGATCGAAATTGGGGAAAACATTTGAACAGAGGGTTTCATGAGGGTAGAGACATCAAAAAAAGCTCAAGGGTTCTTTGATTAGTTGATTAAAGATTCTTTCGATGATAGATTGGTTAAATCCAGCAAATAGCTTTTAGAGAAAAATGAACAAAAAACTCAGAATATAAAGGGCACACCAAGATTACGTTGACAATTCTTATGTGTTTCTTCTATTCTTGTTGCAATCTACGCTTTTAAAAAGTCGCCTTATTATTGGAAGCAGAGCATGATGAGAAATAGTATTTCATTATTTTTAATTTCAAGTTGTAACAAAAACAAAAAAACCAACACAAATTTGAAAAAGGGGTAATGCAACTTTGGAGCACCTTGTACTTCAAAAAATAGTTACATTAAAATAGATAGCTATAATAGAAAAGTTTTACTTAAGCATTC